AAAGCCAACTACATCTTTAATATTATGATCAGCACTATTTTTTAACAGAATGTTAACAATGTCTGTGTTACCATTTTGAGCTGCAATATGTAATGGAGTTTTGCCATTGCAGTCTTTATCATCAATACATAAATCTCTATTTTTTACAAAAAATTGTACAATATCTCTTCTGTTATATGCAGCAGCAATATGCAGTGGGCTCTGACCATCAATATTCTTAACATTAACGCTTAAATTATGATTGAGAATAAATTTTATAACTTCAAGAGAAGGTCCTTTAGCAGCAAAATGTAATGTAGTCCATAAGTTGGAATGTCTAGCATTGAGGTCTGCTCCTTTTTTTAAACAGTCTTTTAAATCTTCCAACTTTCCTTCCTCCAATGCAACAAACATCTTTTCCTGATTAGTAATAATAGCTAAACTTTTATTGAGTTTATCTTCTAATTTCAAGGGATCATCTTTCATAAACTTGCCAATTTTTCTCGAATTTTTTATGATATTTTCTGTAGTTAATTTTTTGGCATTCAGAATAACTGCCAATGAAGGATCAAATAATAATATGTCAACTAAGGCATTATCGTGTGCTAAATGGTTACGCAAACATTTTCCAATTAATAAAGGAGTATTATCATCCAAAGAAAATAAATTATTCTCCAAATAATTCTCTAAGCTACCTAAAATTGACATTATATCCAGCATAAGCATTTTTATTGCTGTTAGCAATTCTTCCTTTTTCTTATGTAAAAAAGATTTTTCAATTAATTGACCATTTAAATCATTGTTGTTTAAAATGATTTTTAATTCAGATAATTTTAATGCAAGCTGATTATTGTATTCTTTTTTTGTTATACTGTAAGCCTTTTTTTGTTCTTTAATAGGCATAAAAGGATTCTTTTTACTTAGCTTTTCTCTCAATTTCTCAATCGATTTAATATTACCTGCTTGAAATTCGACAATATGAAAAATTTGACAAGTTAATCTATTTATTTCATCCTGGTCACTATTTGGTATTCTTGATTTAACACTCTGTAATATTTTCATTGACAGTATAGCAATTTCTTCAATACTGAGATGTTTTATCTTGGAACCAGTCATCTCTAATAACTTAGTAGCAGAAAATTTCAATGTTCTATAAGTATTGTGATTAATGTTATTATCATTATAGGTCATACATATAGCATTTAAGGTTGCAAATACTTGAATATAATCAGTTTTCGTGTTTATTGATTTATCTTCAGTGCTACTGATTATGTTATTAATTTTACTAAATAGTTCTTTTTCATAGTCTGTCTTATCAGTTACAATATTGTTTAATTCTTCTACGAATTTCTCAAGTTTCACAAGTTCTTTCATTTTTAAGTGTTTTGAAGACATATTATTCAATTCCAAATTATTTAGTGCTTCTATGATTTCTTTCATTTCATCAAAAGTTTTACAGCCAACAAATTTTTCTAGTATAATTCTCAACGCTTTCATTCTGTTGCTATAAAGAATATCAGTAACCACATCACCTACTTTTTTTATATCATTTTGAATATCAGAAAAAAAATTAACATCTGTATTTTTTTCAATTTCTGTTCTTGTACAGAGTGAGTAAGCATGGGATAATGAATTACGTAAATCTTTAACAACTTCTCTTGTATGTTTTGGTAATGACAGTAAAAAAAGTTCGCTTGTAGTGTTCGATAATTTAGGTGATTCTAAAGTGTTTTTTAAGTATTCGCCAATAACTTGTAAAACTCTTACAATAATTAACTGTCCTTGCTTTTCTGAACAATTGGTCGATAATGCCAATTGTATGTAGTAATTTAATTTTTCTAGAGAATAGATGTCCCTGATTTGTTGATAATCATTATATAATTCTTCAAATTCAGGATTATTCTTAATAATTCTTGAAATAACTATATCCCGCTTTAATTTTGGGAGATCAGATATTTTAGTACTATCCATTGTTTCTATATTAGCTTTTTCCTCTTCAAGCTTCTTTCCAAAATTGTTTAATTGGCTTAATATTTTTTTTTTATTTAATGTGGAAAAATAAAATAGATTAATTTCCTGTCGTTTAGTATAAGCAGATACAAAACTGACCAAATAAAACTCTATTTCTTCCCAAGGTAATCTGTCATAAGTTGATTTCAACTGCTGTTTTAATATATGAATATTTTGTGCAATAAATTTTGTTAAAAATAAAAACTTGTCATCTACTTTTTCTGTGTTTGAATACTCAGCTTTTAACAAATTAATATTTTTAAGTACCAATTCGATTCGTTTCTTGATAGCATTAAGATCACACCTACAACTTTTTTTCTGTGTGGAAATATTTGAGAAGAAACGAAGGTTTATTAATTTATCTATGATAAAACTTTCCATTTTGTCTGACAGTGATACATACTTCAGTTTCAATTCTTCATAAGCTTTTGATAGAATTGTATCCAATTCATCTGAATGAAAATTAAAATAATTACCTGGCCATATATTAATTAACGTATCAAGGAGTTCGATATTACTGGAACGTATAGCATAATAAAATGCATTATGGCACTCATCATCTTCATCATCTGGCAATATAATGTTTCTATTATTACTCACGAACAGGTTATTTAGAATTTTACTATCATTATCAAATAAGTACTTTAGTATCTCTTGTTTATTTTGCTTGCAGGCTAAAATAACTAGATTAGTGTTCCTAATAGGATTGTCAGGATTATTGTAATAATCTTTCAAATTTAATTCATCTTTCATCTGGCTTGCGTATTTAATTAAACACCTTAAATTTTTAAAGTCATCAACACTGCCCTCTGATACTGCTTTTTCAAGTTTAGCAAAAATCTGAAGAAATAATTCTATGGTTTGTGCCTTGTCATAGTTGAGTTTCCTATATTCTCTTCCAAATTCTTCTTTCGACGTATATGAGTTCGATATAAACTTTATGTTTTTGTGACAAGAGCTAACTTGTTGTCTAGATATTTTTGTATCTTTCATTATTTATACTGCTATGAAAACAATAAAGTTAATTTAATATGACAAAAATTAAAGTAATATTATTTGTAAATAAAATTTCTTTCAGACTTACTCACACACTTACTCAATGTTGTTCTCAATAAAATAATAAAACACTGAATGGTACACATAAAACAAAGTAGCAAATTTTCAAGTTCAAAGAATTATATCTAATATTGGCGTCGATAAGATTATATATAAAAATCTTTGATTACTGACGTTCTTTTTCCTCATAGCTATGATTATTATTTCCCACCAATTCTCAACATTGTGCGAGTGACTCATAATTCGAGATATCTTGAAATGACGTTATCAAAGTAAAAAGTATTAAACATTTTTTTTTCGAATTTACAGCTACATATAAGATTGTTTTAATCAAATCACTGTAGTTCGGAGACCAATTTCAAATTTGGTCTCCGCGTAATTCGAACCACAGTAAAAGACGTAAAAGATAATATTTTCGCACAAGTAATTTCTTACGTGATCAAATATTTTATTCCACGTAAATTTTTTCTACAGATATTATTATAAATAATCAAGTTCAAATGAAAAATAAAATAATTACAGTACGAGTAGTTAAATAATTCGTATTATTTGAATAGAAAAAAAAACAAAACAAGTATGACATTAACCTTCGTCATGTAATTCTAGATGGAGCTGCGGAAGCGGGAAGAATCGCGTAAAGGCTCATGTAAATGTAACTAACCAAACTTAAAAATTCGAGAGCTGCATTATAAAAATTGAAACAAATTATAATAAAAAGGAAGTAGTAAGTTCTGTGATAATTATTTGACATGTCATGTCGTATATTAAGCGTCCAATTAAGCAGACGAACTTCACCTTTGCATCCAGAAGAGAAGATACTCCGGCGCGATGCTCGTAATTAATTAGCACACGTTTATAATACACGGCCAGGAAATTTTGAGTCGGCTACCTATCGTCTGTTTATGGAACAGTGTGGTATTACGAAACAACTTACTTCCTGAAGTAATTAGTCTCGAAGCAATTAGTACCTTTATACCGGGTATTATCATGAAAGTAAGAGCCGGCCTCGTATATCATTCGAATCAACGTTGGAGTCGAATTTACGAGGAGAGACATCGTTGAAAAGTCTACGTTCATTTTACGAGGCTTTCGATCAAAATTATAACAGTGACGTTTGCTATAACGAACGATATTTTTCATTCTTTTGCTTGAAAGCTGATTGATGTTGCCCATTCATAAACTATAGTTTAACTGAACGCGATAAATTATTATTTTAAAAATAAAACACGTCGAAAGAGTTAAAAAATGTTCTGTCATTGAAATGAACAATAATTTTATTTCGATACTTTCGGTAGGTTTATTTCAAGTACATTCATAATTCGTATTCGCGGAAAATAAATTTTTTAAATTCTACATGTCTCTTGTAATTATACAGGGTGTCTCGCCGCTACGCTCGCTGTCGCTCACGCAACTGCGCATGCGCAATTCTCGCGCTCTGATTGACCCGTGTTTTTTTCAATAATTCAAAAACGAAGCTACAAATCCCATTTTTGCAAAGGGAAATCTTATTCAGAATCACCTCACCCCTCATTTTAGGGACCTACACTAGTTGTGAAACATCCTGTATAGTCTCTATATTGATACAGTTCGACCTAATACAATTCAATACAACTTTATGCAATTAACAAATAGACCTACACTAGTTATGAGACACCCTGTATAATAAACCATCAAAACTTACTAAAACTCAGTTACATTTGCGACTGTAAAATAGCAGAGCATGTCCAAAATAGATTGTGTTACAAATCTTAAAAATTAAGGAATAAGTAAGGTAAGTAACACTGTAAATAAAATCATAGAAACGGTAAAGTTACAATTTTGAAAAAAAGAATGAAACGTTCTTCACAATTATTTTCCCTGTTGCAGTATCAAAACAAGAATCATTCTTCTCGTTTCAACCCAAAAATAGTTGAGCAATACCAATATCGAGAAAAAGAAAGAACCATTGTTCTTACCACTGCCGGGTATGTACAGGTTCAGAAACAGGCAGTCCTCGCTCTGATTGGTCAGGAACATGTACAAACGCTTCAGCTGGTGGTACCTGTCGAGGGGCATTTGCAACAAAGCAACTGTGTCATTGCGAATGTCGGGAAAGTGCTGCGGGCAAACAGCGCCGAACGAATCCGCCAGCTTGATGCCGTCCCAGGGGATCGGCGAGATCGGCGCTCGAAAACGTAAATCTCCTACGGGAGGCGCCGCGTACGGTATACCTCGAAACACTTCCACGGGATCTAGGTGTTTGCTGTTGAACTCCTAAAACAGAAAACAGAAACGTGATCAATCGCCGTACACTTCTTCGTTTCCAAATTTAGACGGATAGGAATTTAGGGAGATTTTTTCAAAACTCCGGCAATTCATTTGGAAGATTAGTTGCGAACTTGGGATTATTTGGAAGTTGGGCTTTTAAAAATTTCGAAATGGGAAATTACATAATTTTTACTGTTAAAAGCTATTTTTTATAATATATAGTTATTCGTCACGATATGTCAAAATTTGCATTTTGTAAAAATGGATGAGGGAATGAAGGGCAGAACGAGAGGAGAGAGAGTAGAAGATAATCGCGCGGGCGTATCAACAGAAATATTGAAGAGAAATCAATGGTACCGACCAGGGAAATCGAGGGTCTCCCGAGGATAAATAAACGCGTCAACAGGCTTGCTTCATAGGCATTTTCACGAGCGACCACTGACCGTCAGCGATGTCGACAGGTGAAGGTCGTTAATTTTTAACGGGCTCGAAAGCACGCAAGCGAACCAGATTAAATCACCAGGGAAAACGATTTTTAAATATTTTCCCGTGCTCTTTTTTCCTCTCTTCTTTTTTCTCGTTGCGAGATTGCTGGACCACAATTCCTGTCGTAATTATTGCTTTCATCGTTGGAAAATCAACGACGTGCACGAAATTCTCGATTACGAACTCTAAAAAATATGCTTCTATAACGTCAACTATAGAACGTGTGAAATTTTGATACGGGTTGTGGATTTATCAGAAAAAGTTTCATCGATGATAGAGCAAAGTATGCGATAAGGGAAAAGAAACTCGAGTAGACAGCAAGGGAGTATTATAATTGCAGAGGGGGCAGAAATAAGGCCAGAGGGTTGAAATTTTTTCGCATCTTGGCTTACTCTCTTTATTATTCCTCGGGTAACATCACAGGCCCTCCCGTTAATGGGAATTCGTGATTTTGAACTCGATGCAGGCTCCATCGTCGTTCTTGAACGAGGAGGGAAAAGGACTTTTCCACGAGGCACCTGGCTGCTGCAATTAACGTCGACGCGTACCAAACGAGATTTATTAGCTCTCACGGTATAATTGCTTCGAAGAAAGCCTGGCGAATGGCAGTGTTTTCTTTTTCTGCGCAATTACGTCTAACGAAAGCAATTATCGAGTTTCGTTAGCAGCTGGGATCGCTTCGTTTCACGCGGGTTTATATTGCTCTGATTGACTGACGATAGAAAATGGGAGGGTTATGGCTAACCATTTTATTTGCAGTTAAATATTTTTAATCTTCTCAACTTTCAAATTTACCGAGTTTTGGAAACCACAAGTTTTAACCCCTTTCTGCATAATGGCTCATATATGAGCCAAACATTGTTAAAAAATATTAAACTGTATTCTTATGTCTAGTGATGTGCCATACATAGGTTAAACCTATTTTCAATGAAAATTTGGATAATAAAAAGATTTTTAAACTGCTGGCTTTTATGAACTACTAGCATTGAAAGTAACATATAATTTTTTCAGCTGTTTCCAAAAATTCGTAAATTCCCGAAATCTCGCAACAAATTTAGAGCTGAACTATCCAATATCTGAGAAAAAAGGTATAATATCGTAGTCGAACCCTGCGCCAAATACCCAATTCCGGAGCCGAAACCAATAAAATCCGCATCAAGCTATCTTTCTCGACGATCCTCCATAACCACCCCTCCTCAAGATGGCGTTCCGCTTTCACGAAATAACGAAGAGCATCCGATCCCTCGGCAACTCGGTCGTTATCCCATGACACACGAGTTCGAGGAACGCCTCTCGATGTTTCATCCCCGGGAAAATTCGTCGAACATTTTCATTTTCCGTGGTCGTTTACCGGCCATAAAGTCCACGGTAGGGCGACAGCTGTCGCGATTCCCTGTGTCGCGGACAATTGGCATGTAAACTGCTAAACATTTTATCATGCGCCATTGTTGGCGTGTGCTGCTCCCGAAGCCGGCCAAAGCGTATACAATGTCCATCGTTCCGGGGGACGTAATGTCATCGTTCCGTAATTATGGTGGCATTACCGTGAGCGGCCATTATTATTGCCAGATTGCACACGCGTCCACCTACCGGCTGTTTGACGACCGGTGGACTAGCGTAACCGTAATTACCCCGTGATTAAGGCAACGCGATCGTAGGATGAAAAGCGTAATTAGTACGGGAGTTATGAAAAATTCGTTATGGGAGGAGCTTCTTACCTAACTTCTGGAGGTGCAGCATAAAGCTACTGTTCTCTTCTAAGCCTCCTTTACTGATACTACACTTTTTGGGGATTGAAAGATTTTTGAACCTTTAGCTACTGGAGCACATTTGGAACACGTTACAGTGAGATAACAAAGCTAGCAGTGCCTCCTCAAAGACTAAACTCAGTTCTGACCCATAGACTTTTTGGGGATTGAAAGATTTTTGAACCTTTAGCTACTGGAGCACATTTGGAACACGTTACAGTGAGATAACAAAGCTTGCAGTGCCTCCTCAAAGTCTAAAACCAGTTCTGACCCACAGACTTTTTGGGGATTGAAAGATTTTTGAACCTTTAGCTACTGGAGCACATTTGGAACACGTTACAGTGAGATAACAAAGCTTGCAGTGCCTCCTCAAAGTCTAAAACCAGTTCTGACCCACAGACTTTTTGGGGATTGAAAGATTTTTGAACCTTTAGCTACTGGAGCACATTTGGAACACGTTACAGTGAGATAACAAAGCTTGCAGTGCCTCCTCAAAGTCTAAAACCACTTCTGACCCATAGACTTTTTGGGGATTGAAAGATTTTTGAACCTTTAGCTACTGGAGCACATTTGGAACACGTTACAGTGAGATAACAAAGCTTGCAGTGCCTCCTCAAAGACTAAAACCAGTTCTGACCCACAGAAGTGTCCAAAGAAATCGATTTCATATTCCCGCCATTGCAACTCGATAAAAACAGAAATAAAACGACGAAAAAGTTTTGAACGGTTTGTTCTTAAGAGTGGAATTTCACGATGCGGTAGGATGATTTTTCTTTCTTTCAAGAGAGCATTAGCGGAAAATTGCGAAGCGTAGCGAGAAAAACATAGCTTCTCCATAAACTAAGAACTAGCCTCTCGGATTTTCTAGCCGATTTATTTATCGTCGTGGCCCAGATCGGGCTGTTTAATTTTTAAACACCGCCGCTCGAGCGTATGCGAATGCGTTATGAGGTTCAAGCCGCGTTAGGAGCGTGCAATTTTTCCCTGCCTTCACTCGCGCGTTAACGCGAGCTTTCACGTTTTTCCGACATTTTTTTGCCGTTAATCGTCGACGGGACAATGGAACTACATGTGTTGGCATTTGGATTAAAACGCAATCTTCAAAATATTTAAACTTGGAGCTTCTATTATTTCGAGTGAAAGGATATTTGGTGGGTGTTTGGAGACAAACTGTCTGACTCTTCTGGGTTTGTACTACTGAAATCTGTCTTGAGGGACAGTTTTTGAAAATTTGGGAATTTGGGAGCTTAGGGACTTTAGCAGGAGATTTGGGGATTTAGGGAGTTGGGAATTTAGAGATTTAGAGATTAGATAATTTTGGATTTTGGAGATTTGAAGATTTGGACAATTGGAGAATCGGACAATTGGAGATTTGGACAATTGGAGAATTAGACAATTGGAGGATCGGACAATTGGAGAATGGGACAATTAGAGAATTAGACAATTGGAGAATCGGACAATTGGAGAATGGGACAATTAGAGAATTGGACAATTGGAGAATCAGACACTTGGAGAATCGGACAATTAGACATTGGGAGAATTGCTCAATCGGACAATTGGAGAAACGGACAATTAGACAATCGTACAATTACACAATCGAACAACTGAATACTCGTACAATTACAAATCAAACTTTGAAAAGTTCCCCCAAGTAAAAATATTCGTCCTCCCTCTAAGTTATCGATCCGCGTCTCCAACTTGCTCGGAAGTCCCAATTAGATTTTTGCATAGATAACGACGTAATCGATGTTGTAAAACGACAGACACACCCTGCGTGTATGTTCTTGTTCCCGACGGCGGGTAACGGTCAATCGCGCGAAATGGAGCGGACCAGCCGCACGAGGAACGAGTCGCGTCGTGTTACAACGTAATGTAGAAGTCCAGCAGGCGTCCCGGGCGAAAAACTTTTCTCGTTATCCATCCATCCAGCGGGACTGGGCAAGCTAAAAACGCCCTGTAAATTACGGGACCGCAGTTCGTCCGGAACGACCGCACGTTCATCCTTCCGCGCGACTTGTTCTACGTCAAATCGCCTAAAACTTCTCACGATATTTATCGATTTCGCGGTTCTCGTTACGTGATCAGAAGGGATAATTATTCTGCGTCTCCTGGGAATGGGAGGAGATAGAGATCTGGGGAAAGATGGTTGTGGAGCAATGAGGTACTAGAGAAATGGGGAACTAGGAAAGGAAAAATTTAGGGAGATGGAAAATTGAGAAGATGGAAATAGAGGAATATGGAAATCTAAGGAGATGGAAATCTGGGGAGATGGACATCTAGGGAGATGAAAATCTGGGGAGATGGACATCTAGGGAGATGAAAATCTGGGGAGATGGAAATCTAAGGATTTTATTGTATTGTAGTTTATCTTCTCAAAAGAGATGGCGTCTGAGAGGGTCTCCTCTCAATTTGCCCAGAAATCTAAGGATATGGAAGTCTAGGGAGATGGTAATCTAGGAAGATGGAAAATTGGGGAGATGGAAGTCTAGAAAGATGGAAACCTAGAGAGATGGAAATCTAGGGAGATGGAAGTCTAGAGAGATGGAAACCTAGAGAGATGGAAATCTAGGGAGATGGAAACCTAGGGAGATGGAAATCTAGGTAGATGGAAATCTAGGGAGATGGAAACCTAGGGAGATGGAAATCTGGGGAGGTGGAAATCTAGGGAGATGGAAAATGGAGAAGATGGAAATCTAGGGAGATGGAAAATTGGGAAGATGGAAATCTAGGGAGATGGAAACCCAGAAAAATGAGGAACTAGAAATTGTGATCTAACTAAATATTTAACAAGATGGTAACCTATATGTATGTCCAAACAGAATTAGTGTCCACAATAAATTCTATAGAAATCTAGGGAATCAGTGAATTCAAAAGAACTGCACTATTACCCAACAAAGAGTAATTGTTTTACACCGTGATATCCCGTTTATATTAACCGTGGAAAGTTAAGTTTAAAAGGCAAGTTTGCCGTCGAAAGTTCCGAGTCACGAAAAAGGAAAGAAATTTTCCCTCTGAATTTTCCATCCGCTTCTCTGCTTCTTTCTTTCGCCCGCTTTCCAAGTTTACCTTCGTCGAGAAAACGTTCTTAGACAGGTAGCCGTGTTTTGTCAGGAAACACAGCTTTGAACGAATTAAAACCGTCTGATTGAAAGTACTCGAATGATCAGTCCAATTTCCGAGCGTCTTCCGAACTTTCTTTGTTTTTTTTTTCTTCGAGCCAGAACAACTTACAGCTCGTTTATAGTCGTTTATAGAAGAAAAGTATAGCTGTGTATCGAAAGTGTTAGCTGGATTGACTTCTATTAGAGCGATAGGTTAAGAAAATCTTGATATGATGGGTCAGTTTCGGTCTCCATCGAAAACGTTTCCTCGGATCTGTTTGTTGTATCCGAGCAAAGACTCTTGAACGTCGATTGAACGACAATTGATCGGCAACTAAGACGTTCGTATCGGTAAAATTTTTCGGACAGCAGTTCTCGCGTGCTTCGATTCATATTTCCAATGCATCGGATATTCAAACCCTCTCTACCAGCCAATCGTTCGAGTTCGATAGCCTTGCTATGGTTAAAACGGGAAGAATCGATATACTCGAATATTCCATGAATATACCGGAGAAGATTTCCGGATTTAACCTAACGACACTCATCTTGTCGGGAATTATTTATTCGATTGGACGCTCGTTTTCTACTTTGGAATACGGTTACTTTTAGTTGTATTATCGAAACAGGGCAGAGCCTAAAAATATAGCAATTTGGAGCACGGGGAATTAGGGAGGCAGGGAATTAGGGATACGGGGATTTAGGGATACGGGGATTTAGGGATGCGGGGATTTAGGGATGCGGGGATTTAGGGATACGGAGATTTAGGGATACGGGGATTTAGGGATATGGGAATTTAGGGATACGGGGATTTAGGGATACGGGGGTTTAGGGATACAAAGATTTAGGGATGCGGGGATTTAGGGATACTGGGATCTTGAATTATGGGAATTTAGGGACACAGGGATTTAGAAATACAGCGACTTAGGAGTACAGGCATTTAGCAGTACAAGGACTTAGCTATACAGGAATTTAGAAGTACATAAACTTAGAAGTATCCATATTTAGAAGTACAGGGATTAAGAAGTACAGGGACTTAGAAGTACAGAGATTTATAAGTACAAAGACTTAGCTACACAGAAATTTAAAAGTACATAAACTTAGAAGTACACATATTTAGAAGTACAGGAACTTAGGAGTACAGGAATTTAGAAGTACAGGGACTTAGCTGTACAGAGATTTAGAAGTACATCGACTTAGGAGTACACACATTTAGACATATATGGACCCGGAGATGCAAGAATCTAAAAATACAGATATGCAGGAGTACAATCTAACAATGCAGAGATGCAACAATTCCACATTTTTAATACACTTCACTCGAACCTAAAATAAACGATAAATAGTGAATACGAAATCATCAGCATGAATAATCACAGTGAATTTCGCGCTTGATCTATTAAAAAATCGACAGAACTATAAAATACCAAAAACCATTATTTATGCAGAACCTTAACGTTGGTTCATTAAACAGTTCTTCATTCGATCTTTCCTTTGATCATTCACGCAGAGATCGATATTCGTAGGTGAATGATAAAACGAAAGAAAAATCGAACTTATTTATCGCGAGCGTCTGCAACAGGAACGATATCGAGTTAACGTCGAGTGTTTCGTTCGTGTCACTCCCCGTTAAAGCGACGATTTAAAATTCAGAAATGGTAATGCTTTAACACGTCGCGAGAACGCGGAAAGCGCGTTTTAAAACTTGCAGAAGTGGTTCGATAAAAGATTGAATGAAAAAAAGAGGAGGAAAAAAGAGCTGTTCGATAACTCGCGGATACTTTCGCGAGAACGAAATTGGCTGTCCGTTTCCGTCACGATACGGATTGCCTGTAAAATCATTCGACGCCCATCGATCCTTCTGCATCCCCAACCCCCTAACTCTTGTCGATATGAATATCTATTAAACGCAATTCATGTCTACCACCTGGCTGGCCGATTGTCGCAGTAAACGTCAGAACCGGTTCGTTTTTACTGGTTGATTGACGTTTCTCAAATGCGACATCGATATTCCCTTTTTGAATCGTTCACGACTACGTTTAAAAAATTTCCTTTCAAAAATCGTACTCTGTTACAGTCGAAAATGGGAACGTTTATATCGACGTAAACTCGATGCTTTGAATTATCAATTTTAGATTTTTTAAATATATTGTAAATGCAATTTGGGAATAGCATTTTGGGAATTTTAGTTTTTGGAGCTTTTGTGAGGTGAATGTGCATTTGCGAATTTTGGGAATTAGTAGATTGTTAAATTTATAATTTACCAAATTACCAAGTTCTCAAGTTACCAAGTTCTCAAGTTACCAAGTTCTCAAGTTACCAACTTCTCAAGTTACCAACTTCTCAAATTACCAACTTCTCAAATTACCAAGTTCTCAAGTTACCAACTTCTCCAATTACTAACTTCTTAAGTTACCAAATTCTCAAATTACCAAGTTCTCAAATTACCAACTTCTTAAATTACCAACTTCTCAAATTACCAACTTCTCAAATTCCCAACTTCTCAAATTCCCAAATTCCCAAATTCGCAAATGCCCAAACCCCTCAACTTCACAAAAAATCGCCCCTCAAATCCCGCCCTCAAAACCAATAACTCCATCGCCGTCTTCACCCCAACACATTAAAAACGCAGCGTAAAAAATAGAACCCAACATTAAATCCTCCATTAGCCATCTCCTCAGCATCGTAAAGCATTCATCTTGGTATCGATGTAGGATGAAAAACAAAGAGCAGCTTCTAAAATCAATATTCGGTATACAGAAGCTGTTGGTTCGGGTCCTCGTGCAACGAAGAGGAAGAAAATCGATACATACCTGAAGAATCCCTCGTATCTGTCCGCTCTTGGTCTCGACGATGCGCGAAGCGTAGCGGATTTGCGTGGCAGCCCGGGATCCCTCGTGGCCGATCAGCAGGATCACGACAACGATCAGGATCAGGTAGCTGGTTGATTTTCTCAAGGACCTCGTGGCCAGCGGCCTCTTCTTGGCCGCCGGCTGGCATGGCAAGAGCATGACAGCATTTGCTGGCGGCCACTCGCAGCGACGCCAGCACCATAACCGTGGAAAGCGACTTTTGCCACGGCTCGAGTTCGCCCAACAGGATCACCGCGAGAAGTCCTGCACAAAGGAGATCAGGATATAGGGGATGATATTCTGAGGGCTGCAAAAAGGGCGTAACAAAGGTATTGATAACAAATAGGTACGGATGACTTTTGGGAGATATAGATTGCTAAATTCACAAATTATCAACTTCTGAAGTTACCAAGTTTTCAAATTACTCACTAATCAAATTATCAGCTTCTCAAGTTACTTAGTTCTCAAATTACCAACTTCTCAAGTTACCAAGTTCTCAAATTACCAGCTTCTCAAGTTATCAACCTCTCAAATTACCCAGTGCTCAAATTACCAGCTTCTCAAGTTATCAACCTCTCAAATTACCCAGTGCTCAAATTACCAGCTTCTCAAGTTATCAACCTCTCAAATTACCCAGTGCTCAAATTACCAGCTTCTCAAGTTATCAACCTCTCAAATTACCCAGTGCTCAAATTACCAGCTTCTCAAGTTATCAACCTCTCAAATTACCCAGTGCTCAAATTACCAGCTTCTCAAGTTATCAACCTCTCAAATTACCCAGTGCTCAAATTACCAGCTTCTCAAGTTATCAACCTCTCAAATTACCCAGTGCTCAAATTACCAGCTTCTCAAGTTATCAACCTCTCAAATTACCCAGTGCTCAAATTACCAGCTTCTCAAGTTATCAACCTCTCAAATTACCCAGTGCTCAAATTACCAGCTTCTCAAGTTATCAACCTCTCAAATTACCCAGTGCTCAAATTACCAGCTTCTCAAGTTACTAAGTTCTCAAATTACTAACTTCTCAAGTTACCAAGTTCTCAAATTTCCAGCTTCTCCAGTTACCAACTTCTCAAGTTAACTTCTCAAATTATCAACTTCTCAAATCACCAACTTCTCAAGTTACCAAGTCCTCAAATTACCAACTTCTCAAGTTACCAACTTCTTGTTTGAGCAAGTTATCTGACTTTCATCTCCCAAAATAATTCCTACAAAAAATATTAAAACCTTGAATCAACTTTACAAAAAAATGTTATCTAAAATTTTCCAATAAACTATCTCTTGAAAAAATAATTATAGCAAACAAGGTTAAGAAAGCAAGGTGGAAAGATCTCGGAGACATTTTCTCCGAAAATATTCCATACGTTTCGTCGAGAGGGTAAAATTGCATCCGGATGTACCTTAGCGTCGTCACCGGAAGCTACGTTGTAGAAATATTTTCAATCAGCGCAGCCACGGTTTCCGAGCTGTTTCGTAGGCAATCCAAGGCAGCGTCGACGAATCGCTTGGTAACTTCGTTATGCAAAACGATGCTTCCCGCTTTTCTGGCCCGCGGTGAGACCAGTCTTCCCTTCTGCTCTTCTTTTTCCTCTCGACCTTCCCTTTCGGCTGCAAGTTAAATTGCACTCAAAACATCCCTCGAACGGGAGAACACAGAGGCTCCTGAATACCGTCCCGTTTCCATGAACGTTATTTTTACTGGACCGCTAACTTTGCCCCGTTTTTTCCTCGATGCTCGAACGATCTGAAATTAAAAGAAAGCCTTTGTTAATCCTTTAACGCTTCGCTGTTTAGGTTTCCCTTTCGTATGCAAATGCAGATTTTTTTTAATTACAATTAGTTTCTACGGTCCAGTAATTTTTTAACTTTATATTTTTGTTACAACTTTTAACTCAAATTCTTCCAAATATTAAAATTGCTCAAATTCAAATAAGTCTTCTCCCAATTTTTAAATACTAAAAATTGATATGCCCTACTGACTAAAATCGAAATAAAGGACTTGCATATTATTGTTTCGTGTATCATAAAAATTAGAACAAGAATCTTCACGCAACATCAAGGAAACATGCGATCTGAAGTCCGAGATATCAGTTTGAAATTGATGAATTTCACGCCCGCACACCAGCCTAAAGATCGAAGATTGCGCGAAAATAATGAATATATTTTCACCATGCAACCCTGCTTCGCTTGGTTTAATACTCGTCGAATAAGGTAGCAACAAATTTAAATCATGAGTTTACAAAGTTTAGACGTCCGACGCGGCAATCTTCCTGGGCTCCAATTTCGCTCGAGGCTCATTCAATCTCCTCCATGATTCTCCTGGATTGTCCGCTTTAAAGATTTATATCCGCAACACCATAAGCTCCAGCAACGATTCGCGCGGACCTACTCGAAATTAACCTTTTGTAATCCCGTATGAACTCCATCATTTTTCGATAATTTACGGCCTAGAAACTATTTTTCAATTCGATTCGTTTTTCGACTTTCTGAAACATTGGTTGGAAATTTAGGGACTATTATTATTTAGGCATTTAGGATTCTGGGATTTAGGGATTGAGATCTAGGGATTTTTGGATCTAGGAATTTTTAGATCTAGGGACTTTGGGATTTAAGATTTTGGAATCTGGTGGTTTTTTGGATTTAGAAATTTTGGGATCTGGGGATTTTTTACATCTAGGGATTTTTGGATTTAGGAATTTTGGGCTCTGGGGATTTGTTGGATTTAGGAATTTTGGGATCTGGGGATTTTTTGGATTTAGGAATTTTAGGATCTGGAGATTTTTGTATCTACGAATTTTGGGATCTGGAGATTTTGGAATCTAGGGACTTTGAATTTAGGAATTTTGGAATCTAGGAATTTTTGGGTCTAATAGTATTGAGATCTAGGGATTTTTTGATCCGTGGATATTGGGATCTAGGGATTTTTAGATCTATGGACACTGGAATCTAGGGATTTTGGAAATGTAAGGTTTGAAACTTAGGAACTTTAAAATTTTGGAATTCATGAGTTTAGGAATTTAGAGATTTGAGGATTTGGGGATTTAATGAGTTAAGAATCTAGGAATCTGGAGATCTAGGGATCTAGGGACTTACAAATTTAGAATTTCCAAAATTAAATGTTTTAAAATTTGAAATATTTTAAAATCTTTTTAATTTACACTGTTATGAAATGAAAATAAAAATTTACGAATTTATTGAAAGTATAATTTCAACTAATTTTAATTTATTAAACTTGAAAATATATTTGTAAATGATTACAAAGAAAACTTGTAAAAATTTAGAGATAGATTTTCCCTAACGTACCCTCCCCTCATAAAATGCATTGTAAATCCAGTGCTCAAAAATATTTTAGTAGATTCTGTGAGAAATATGATTTAATATATGAACGAAGCAAACCGTTATATTTATCGCATCGGGCGTCAATAAATGATAACCGAAATTTCAGCACGCAGAAATTATTAATCTTTTTAAACGAACGCCGTTCAACGTCGAATGAATTTTCATCGAAACGAAATTTTAATTATAGAGAGGCTTCGAACGCACTCATCGACGGCTTCATTCAACGTTCTCATTTATTTCCGAAACACGTACTTTAAATCTCACGCTTTAAGTTTTCGTTTCGAAGTGTTAGCTTTTAATTAAAGAACACAATGTGCATCGTTCATCATCCTTGTTGCATAAAAAAGACTTTTTCAATTAATTACGCGTTAATATCAATCAAACATCCTCTCTGTTAAAACGAATGAAATTCTATAAACGGAAAAACACTTGTACTCTGTAAAATAATATTTCGTGGCATTTTTCTTCGGTTTAAAGAAAAATCATCCAAGTTGGTAATTCTTGCGTGCTCATTGAAAGTTTCAGATAAGTAAGATTAGAGTCGCATTTAAGTTAAAAGTTGAAAATGAATGAACGAGGTATAACACGATTTAAGGCCGTTATTCATGTCGCTAACGAAACGATTTGTCAACTTTATCGTTAACGCGACTCTGTAAAAAGTTCCGCGGCTTTTTAAGCTTTGTTTCGCGATAAAAAAATGTCGCGTGTCTTCGTGGCGTTATTTTAACGCGAATTTCGTTTTCCCGCGCACGATGCTTGTCACATTTTAATAATTTCCATTCATACCTTAATAGTTTCTAGTTGGGTCGACAGAGTATCCCCTCAGAGTTTTCTCGGATTTTCGTTCAAACACCCAACACGTTTCTCTCCTCGAGCAGAGAAGCTGAAAAAGCTTTTTGATGTTCGCGAAAACAATCTCCTCCGTGGGGGATCAAGTTAATGATTCTTGTTTTCTCGAAGAACGTGTAAGGAAGCATGTAAAGAGGGGCTCAAAGCTTTGATTTTGAGGAAATTCCTTCTAAAAAGCTGGCTGGTGCAGGAGGATAATATCCTTTCGAACGTTATTTAATCCCTTCAAAGTGAATCTTCTCCAGTTAATTTCAAATTAATTTTTTCCCGAGTTAATTAACGCTGAAATTTTCCTTCGATTAATTTTTGTTTTTTCGCGTGCGGTATCTGTGGCTCGAAGGTGATCAGTTTTCAAAGCTGACTCTGATCGGATTTAATCAATTTAATTGATCCAACTTTTATGTTTTCTTTGCTGAAGGTATTAGAGGAATATTTTAAGTACGATACTTAATTACTTAATTAAAATAATATTCGTTAACTTACAGCTCGGATATTTTCATATTCTTAAAGTTTTAATAACAAACACTTTTATCAATTATTAATAATTCAAAACAAATCACTTAATCACTGTTGTCGCACAAAATTATTTAAACGAGAGTTATAAACGTAAATAACCTTCGCTTTTGTTTTTACTACTCTGACCAGTTGCAAATTTTTCCACCAAACAAATGTATTGATAAATGTATATTTATAAAAATTGAAATTGGTTTCAATTAATTTTAATAAATTATTCCGTTTTAAAAGACGATCGAACACTTATTATTTGCTATGTAAACATTCTATTTTACTTTTCTTATTTTGACGAGGGTAGTTCATGTAGCACGAGGTTCGCAACACAATAGCGCGAAGAGCTGGTGGGGATAACGGTTACAAGGAAGAAATGCGTTTGCAATAAAGATTATTACATGTGGCTATATGTATTTAATTTTATCATCAGTTTTATAGTTCCTTGATTTTGAAATTTTATTTCTTTGATTCATGTGGACCAGTTGAGCTTTTATAGCATCGTTATACTGTAAGATCAATTTATTTTGCACACGTTTAGTAATTTTTATTTTCTCATGAAAATTTAACCGTTAATATTCAGATACGTAATTCAGTTTTCATCCACACTACAGGTACTTTCTGAAGATTTCTGTGTTATTACGAATTATTACATACCAAAGAGTAAATAAATATTTGTTTTTTATTAAAGTAAGTCTTCCTTTCAAAGATATTTTACTGTTATACTAAAGTTATTTTAATTTCTATCATAGTGAATTTTTTTATTTTAATAGCAGTGTAAATAATGGAGGCTACGAAAGCATCTAAGCAACAGGCTAGTTTTTACCAAAAAACTAAAAAATTTATATCACGTTCCTATGCATCGAAAGAAGAGTTTGCAAGAGAATATATGAAGCTCAACTATGAAAAAGCAAAAGCTGAAGAACTATTTCTTTTGGTTTTTACTGAACTTGAGAAAGCGGTATCACAGGGTAACATTGACCAATTAAAAAGATTAAGCACTTTAGTTGATTACACAAGCGAAATTAAGGATAAAGTAGCATTGAAAGATTATTATGATAATCCTAATAATCCTATTAGAGACACCAATTTAGTTATTTTAGCTTGTAAACAAAATAAACAGGAGATACTGACATATTTATTTGATAGTACTAATAAAATTCTACATAATTTATCAGTGGATATTGGAAGAAGTGCTATATTACCAGGTAATACAGATGAAACTTGCCATAATGCATTTTACTATGCTATACGTTCAGGTAATATTGAGCTCCTTGATACACTAATTAACAAATGGCCAGATAATTATTTTAATTTTCATTCAAATGAATTGGATGAAATTCTCTTGAGAGTTTACAAAGAACTGAAGTTGAAGAATGTACCATTGTCATATGATATAGAAATTTTTGTCGTAGATAAGTTAATAAACCTGCGTTTCTTCTCTGATACTTCTGAACCAGATAATAGTTGTAGGTATGATCTTAATACTATCAAAGAACGGATTGATTTAGTACTTGAAAATATTAATTTGTTAAAAACTGAGTATTCAAACACAGAAAAAGTAGATGAAAAGTTTTTGTTCATTACAAAATTTATTGCACAAAACATTCATACATTAAAACAGCAGTTGAAATCAACTTATGATAGATTACCTTGGGAAGAAATTGAGTTTTGTTTGGTCAGTTTTGTATCTGCTTACACTAAACAACAAGAAATTAATCTGTTTTATTATGCTATATTAAGTAAGAAAAAAATACTAAACCAATTAGAATGTTTTGGAAAGAAGCTTGAAGAGGAAAAAATTAATATAGAAGCAATGGATAGTACTAAAATATCTGATCTTCCAAAATTAACACGACATACAGTTATTGCAAACATTATTAACAATTGTCCTCAGTTTGAAGAATTATATAATGATTATCAACAAATTAGGGATATGTATACTTTAGAGAAAATTAATAATTATGTAAAGTTGGCATTATCAGTCTATTCTTCAGAGATGGAAGGACAGATAATTATAGGAAGAGTCTTACAAGTTATTAGTAATCATTTAAGAAATACTTTGGAATCTCCTAAATTATCTGACACTATAAGTGAACTTCTTCTATTATCATTACCAGAGTATGCAAGAGAAGTTGTTATAGATTTACATGATTCAGAAGCTTGTGTTTATTCACTTTCTCAAAGATTGGAACTTGAAAAAGATGCAGATACTGACTTCTTTGTTGAAATCCAAAATGATATTGAAGAAATTAATGATGTTATTTCTGATATTCTTTGTGACAACAAAATGAAAATGATCAGAATTCTTCTAAAACGAATTGTTAGTAGTCAAAATTTTGACGAAATAAAAGAAGTTATGGCAGAACTTAACAATATCAAATTGGATAAAATGGGTCTAGGAGGTTTTAAAATGAATGACCATGAGAGACTGGAAATCTCGATTCAAGACTTGAGGGACATTATACTTTACAAGACAGATTATGAAAAAGAACTGTTTAATAAAATTAATAGCATAATCAATTTTGCAAGAACTAAATTACATGTACTAGAAACTGACTATATTCAAGGCATTGGATCATTAAGGTTGTTACGTATTGTCTTCAATGATAACAAGATTAACAACAATGTTGCTGAAGGGTTGAAATTCTTTGTTAGTAAAATATTAGAGAATATTGCTCCCGAAATAAAGACTCAAAGTCTTAAAGAAATAGCTGAACTATCAATGAAAATCTTTAACAGTGTTACATCAAGACTAGAAGATGACTATCATATAATGGGTGACGAGATAAAGAAATCATTCCTCGAAATTTTTTATATTGTTGAAATGAGAATAGATGATGTTCACTGGATTAAGGGATTACGTGAAAAGTTAATTGAAGATAGTTACTCTATATCTATGTATGAACAAAGGAAGACATATACTGCAACAGAACAAGAGTGTAATATTCAGCTTAGACTAAAATTAGCTGAGCTGAAAAGCGTTTTAAACAGCAATGCATTGAACAATCGCTTAATTAACACATGTTCTTCCTACAAGGAAGATGACAAGTTACAAGTAGTAATATCAACTCTGGTATTGGATGTAATGTCAATTTTATATAACTCAGAGAATTATTTGGAAGACAATTTACTATTTTTAGACGATGACACTCCTGTATTAACTGGAAAGTGTTTGTATAACTACTTAGCACATGATAATGCCTTAGTTGATATATTACTACTTGACCCATCAATATCTACTATTCTAAATGCAAGAAAACTAAGTACAGAGAATATAATTGGCACTACAAAAAAAATTGGTAATGTTCTCAGAGATGATCCCTCCAAATCAAAAGATAAACTCACTGAAAGTTTAGCTATTATCAATATTCAGAAAAGGATGTTCGATGCATTGGAGGCCGGGAGTTTGGAAGATTTAAAAGATTGTTTGAAACAAGGAGCAGACCTCAATGCCAGAGATTTCAACTTGTGGACTGCATTACATTTTGCTGCTAAAGGACCCTCCCTCGAAGTCATAAAATTTATTCTCGATCATAATTTAAGCGTTAATGTTAAGAATAGCGATAGTCAGAGCCCGTTGCACATTGCCGCTGCATACGACAGAAGAGATATTGTACGGTTTTTTGTAAAAAATACGGATTTATACATTGACAATAAAGACAGCAATGGCAAAACTCCGCTACACATTGCAGCTCAAGATGGTAACACAGATATTGTTGACATTCTACTAAAAAATAATGCTAATCCTAATATTAAAGATGTAGCTGGCTTTTCACCTTTACACTCTGCAGTGAAAAATAACCATATCGATGTTGTTCAGATCTTACTGAAGAGGGAAGTCGACTCTAACGAACTTCTAGGTGGTTTCACTTCACTGCATCTGGCTGCAGAGTATGGTCATCTGGAGATGATTAATTTCTTATTGAAAAATGGGGTGAACATTAACACAAAAAGCGACAAAGGAGCAATAGCGTTACATCCAGCAGCACTAAATGGCCACGTGGAAGTAGTAAATGCTTTAATTTTAAAGGGTACAGATGTCAATGTTAGACTCGAAGATGGCAATACACCTCTACATTATGCTGTAGAAAATGGTCACGAAGAGGTAGCTAACGTCTTATTGAAATATGGAGCTAATACTAACGTTTCCGATAAAGCCGGTAAAAATACACCTTTACATTTAGCAGTAAAAGATAAATATGTGGAGATTGTAAAACTTTTACTGAAGTATAAGGCCAGAGTTAGTGCTGTTAATGCTAAAGGTATGACTCCGCTACATTTTGCAGTACAGAGTGGTCATTTAGAAATAGTCACTATTCTTCTTGAGCATAATGCAAATATTAATGTTAAAGATAACAACAAAGTCACGCCGTTGCACTATGCAGCGGAAAAGGGTTATAAAGAAATTGCTGACCTTTTAATAAAAAACAAAGCTGACGTTAACGCGAAAGATAACAATGGATTTACTCCACTGTACTTGGCTGTTCTGCATGACCACACAGATGTTACTGAATTATTAATAAAATGCAAAGCCGAAGTTAACACCCGAGACAGTAAGAGCTGCACCCCCTTACACTTAGCCGTTATAAACGACAACAGAGATATTATTGATTTCCTAATAAAGAATAAGGCTAGAGTAAATGTTAGGAACAGTCGCAGTGTAACACCGTTGCATACAGCTGCCGCAATTGGTAACAAAGATGTCGTTGATCTTTTGGTCAAGAATAAAGCTGATCTCAATGTGAAATCAAATCTTGGTATCACACCGCTGCATGCTGCTGTCATATACGGACACGAAGACGTTATTCTTCTTCTAACAGAAAGTGGAGCTCAAACCAACTGTATAGCTAAGTTCGGAGTTACAACCTTACAGTCGGCAGTTAAAGGTGGCTATAAGAACGTCGTAAACCTTTTAATCCAAAATAAAGCTGACGTTAATTCTACAGGTCGTACAGATCTTACTCCACTGCACATGGCTGTGGAGTCTAGAAATAAAGAGCTCGTCGAAATTTTAATACGCAACGGGGCCAACGTTAATGTCATGACTAATTATAAAATGACACCGTTGTCTTTCGCTGTTAAACAAAACTGGAAGGAAATCGTTGAAGTTCTCATAGCGAACGGCGCTAACGTTAATGCACTGAACGGTGAAGCTTTATCATTTGCAACTTTCTTCGGTTACAAGGATATTATAGAAATTCTGTTGGAAAACAAGGCTGATATCAACTTACAATTTATGGATAATAAAACACCGTTACATATAGCCGCTATGAAGCGCACCACGGACTTAGTAGAACTTTTACTTGCGAAAGGAGCTGAGGTTAACGCTATCGATAAGAAAGGAGCCACGCCATTGCACTATGCAGCGCGATGCGGTAACGTGGAGATTATTGAACTTTTATTGTCAAACGGCGCTAATGTTAATGCTAATTGTAGCGAAGGTACTCCGTTACATTACGCAGTGTATGAATACGACAGCGTAGATGTTGTTAGGATTCTATTAAATAATGGAGCAGATGTCAGTATTAAAGATCATCAAGATAGAACGCCATTGCAGGTAGCAGTCACACATAACCAGTTAGAATGTGTAAAACTGATGACATTGCAGAGTCAGAAGATAGATATCAATGCCAAGGATAGTGATAGCTGGACAGTGTTGCACAATGCTGCGCAAGAAGGTAATCTAACAATGGTAAAGTACTTAATAGAAGAAGGATGTGATATTAATGCTAGGAACGCTGATGGTTCAATGCCCATACACATTGCTGTTGAAGAGGGTTTCAGAGACATCGTTGAATTCATGCTTAATAATGGTTCCACTGTTCATGATCGTGGAACAAATAATCAAACATTATTGCATTATGCTGCAATGACAAGCCAAATAGGTCTTGCAAAGTACCTGATATCAAAAGGTGCTGATATTAATGCTCAAGATGACAATGGACTGACTCCTATGCACACTGCTGCTCAGTTTGATTATGAAAGGTTCATTGAAATTTTGTTGGAAAATGGTGCAGTTTATAACATCACCGATAAACATCATAGAAAAGTGTCAAGTATGGCTAGTAAGAAAAGACTTATAAGTAGATTAATAGCAACTGAGAAACTGTTTGATGCTGCGAAGCATAATATATATTTGGAAGTAGAGAGGAACATCAAGCTAGGAGCATTTCTTAATGCGAAACATGCTGCATCGAAAGGTTATGATGGGACACCGTTGCATTATGCTGCATGGAAAGGCTATGAAAAAATTGTCAGTATCCTGGTTCAGAATAAAGCCAATCTTAATATAACTGGTAATAAAGGATTTACTCCTTTGCATTATGCTGCTAAGTTTTCTCACATAAAAATTGTCATGTTTTTGTTGTGTAATGGTGCAATACACAATGCTGTGTCAGAAGGAGGAAAAACGCCATTAGACTTTGCTGTAGATAGAAATATAATTAAATTGCTGAATTTGGTGAGTGAATGTTTCCACAATGTTCTAAACGATAACCCCAAAGTTATCATTGACATTAACAAGATAAGAGATCTCAATACAGTGTCAGCAATAATGAATGCTCGCAATAGGGAAAATGAAAGTTTAGTAGTAGTCGCGATGAAAAATAAATTTTCAAAAGTTCAACAGCTGAAAGAAGTAGCGCAACCCGACGTGATCAGAGAGATTGACACAGCCTTACTGTTCTTGTACCAGGAAGATTACATATCATCCCTAAAGATTTTCAAAAACGTGTACGAAAGGAGAAGGAGACTTTTGGGTCCAGATAATCCTGCCACTTTGGACATCCAAGTGTTCATAGCCAAAATATTGTACAAACAAGGAGCTTTTCAAGAGGCTGCGGACATGCTTAACGAGATCTTCCGCAAACAGAAAGAAATGTTTGGATTCGACAACGAGAACACCTTAAGCACAAGGAGTATGTATGCTTTGATTCTTCACAGACAGGGAAAAGACTACGAAGCTTTTAGCATTTTTGAAGAAGTATATGAAAAACAAAAGGAATTACTAGGCCCAGATCACACGGATACTTTAGATACACAGTTCCACATGGCCATTGTATTGGACAAACAAGGAAAGTATGAAGAAGCACTAAAACTGAATAAAGAAGTTTACAAGAAGAGAAAGGAAACACTCGGTGCAAACCATCAGACCACCATATGCACCCAAAACAACATAGCAATGATACTGGGCAACCAAGGCAAATACGAAGAAGCCTTAAAAATGTACAAAATGGTTTACGAGAAGAAGAAAATGGTTTCCGGTGTCAATCACTCCGATACCATAAGAACGTTATTTAATATCGCCGGGGTGCTGCTCAATCAGAAGAAATACGACGAATCTTTGAAGGCTCACCAAGAGATTCTCAATTTGCAGATGAACCTTTTCGGGTCGAACCACCCAGACACCCTGAACACTCAATACAATCTCGCAAACGTACTCTTCGCTCAGAACAAGTGGATCAGTGCGTTCAAAGTCTACGACGAATGCCTCGACAAAAGAATAGCTGTATTCGGACTAAGTCATTCCTCCGTTTTAGACATTATACATAAAATGGAACTGATTAATTTCAGATGCAAACTCGAGGGCTCAAACGCGTCGGAGATTGTCAAGCACGTGCAGACGGACATCAACAACGCTGCCAGCAAAGGAAATATACAAACTCTTCGCGGCTTGTTAACGAACGGAGCTGACGCCAACGACAAGGACACCGAAGGGAGAACTCCGTTGCATTACGCTGTTAGCAACGGACACTTAGACGTTGTAAATATCTTGCTAGAAAGTGGAGCCGACGTTACTCAGGTCACTAAGAAAGGCAACACTGCGTTACACACTGCCACCTCTAAGAATTACAAGGAAATTATCGAAGTTTTGTTACGACGCGTGAGTCGCGAGAAAATGGTTGACTTCGTGAACGCCAAAACGAGCGGCAGCGGTGTAACTTCGCTGCACGTTGCTGCTAAAAATGGCTCCCTGGATATTGTCAAATGTCTGCTCTCCTACGGTGCGGGCTACAACGTCACAAATAAGGACGGCAAAACACCGTGCGACCTTTCCAACAACCAAGACGTTAAGAATCTGCTGCAGCTCATTGACAGAATGTTCAAAGACGTAAAATGTGGCACTGCCGAGGCTATTGACAATCTGAATGTCTTAACTCCTGATGAACTTGTCGCCGTAATAAATGCTCGCGATGAACATGGAAGCACGCTGGTGCAAGCTGCCATATTCAGTAATAAGAGGCACATTGCTGCCAAGTTATTAAAAATGGTACAACTCGAAATGTAGAAATAAACAGTATTAGTCCCTAAGATGATATATTTTTATAAAGTAATATATTTTTATACGAAAGTTTTTATTTCAAAGAATTTTATGTTTCTGATCAGAATGTTTATTTTATTTACTGCGATTTTTCTGTACGTTTATTTTTTTCCTTGTAATCATAAACAATTTAGAGAAACAACTCTGGTAACTCGAGTAAAGATATGCATAATTTTCTGACAAACTTGTAAGACTGTTTAATAAGTTAAATATTTTTGTAACTCTTGTAAAGACAAGGGATTTTAAAATGTAAGTCATTGTTACAGAATAAATATAGCAATGTTAAAAATGTGAGTTAATGTTAAATCTAATGTTAAAATCGTAAAATGTTTATTCGAAGTCCTTTGAAAGGGAAAGCGTTACCGAATAGATCTTTCCGAATATCGAGAGATGTTTGTGACCGAGTCACACATGGGAACGTGGCCAGAGGAATCGAAGTTGCTGCTAATTTAATTTCGAGTCTCAATTATCGGCCGCGACTGACTCCCCTGGCGGCTCTAACTTTCAACCCTCAACGCGCTGCTCCCCGAACAGGGGTGAGTGAACCTGTAACACAGTCCTGTATTCCGCCACTTTATCTTGGGATTGACGTTTCATCCGCAGAAATCGACAGACCGAGAGAACCGACAGGATTGCTCTGTGCCTTCGTGGTCACGTCGGGGAATAAAGCGGGGAAATGAAAGAAACTGCGACAAAACGGAGCGAAACATCGGCGTAACTAGATAGACACCGGGGGGGTTGAGACATGAAATCCGGATCCTGTCACGTGTCGAAAGTTGCGAAATTTCAAGTTCTCTTTTTTTAAATCCTCGACTTTCTAAATTTGAGAACTAATAATACTACAACTAATTAAAAATAGTTAGCTCTATCTATAATTGTCTAATATTTTTTTAGGTACATTTTGCAATTGCACTTTTTCAACAAATCTGCCCATTTCTATTTATACAGGTTAATTCACCGGAACATTCGGTAAAAAAGTGTTAGAGTACAATATTAAAAAGTCAACAGTCCGCGAGATATTTCAAATTCGGAAGTGAGTGTTTGAAGTATTTCATTAATTGCTTTTGCGCTTTTTACGCAAAATGTTTTGAAAAATCGATCTCTGTAAAAAGGGACATACAGCGCATTTGCAATATGCGAAAAAAATATTTTCCGTTTAATTACAACTGTTATATTTTTGCCATCCTGTTCAGTTTTAGTGGGAAATCGATATTTATGAAGGGGAGAAATTTAGTTGAGATAATGAATTTTATAGAATGAACATAATAAATTAATAAAGATTAAGAAGTGAACATAATTCTCGAATTTGATGTCTCTCAAGTCCAATAACTTTCAAATTCCATCACTCTCAAATTTGATATCTCTCAAGGTCCATAACTCTCAAATTCCATTGCTCTCAAGTTCCATCACTCTCAAGTCCCATAACTCTCAAATTCCATCACTCTCAAATTCCATCACTCTCAAGTCCCATCACTCTCAAATTCCATCACTCTCAAATTTGACATCTCTCAAGTCCCATCCCTCTCAAATTCCATCACTCTCAAATTCCATTACTCTCAAATTCGATATCTCTCAAGTCCCATCCCCCTCAAATTCCATCACTCTCAAATTTGATATCCCTCAAGTCCCATCCCTCTCAAATTCCATCACTCTCAAATTTGATATCCCTCAACTCCCACAACTCTCAAATTCCATAACTCTCAAACTTCATAAAACGAGCAAAATAAATCAATTAAAATTAAAAAGTGAACTATTTATTTGATCATTTTCGCGTCGCATCAAGCGCAAGGCTCTAAATCACGGAGCGGAAGCAAATCGTTTATTTACCATCACCCATTTCCAATACCTATTTCCCCGAACGCAGCGAAATCGCGAGAAAAGAATGGAAGGGGCGCGATAGATTCTAAATGGAAGAGAGAAACAAAGGAAGGACAGAGAAGGAAAGAGGGTTGGAGGGACGAAAGAAAAAGGAGAAAGAAAATGCATTTTCCCGTGGCGGAAGAACTCCTATCCCGTTCCATCGATGATTTGACTTTATAATCGAGCTAGCCTCGTTCAATTACGATGGAATTTCTCGCGGAATTTCGCGCAAACAGCGCCGCGATTCGAGACAATCGAGAACGGACGAGATAAACGATTTCGAAGTTAACGATTAATGGGAGGCGATATTTGCCCTGTACGTCCATCATGGAAATATGTTTACTCGCCACCGAAATTTCTAATTTCACCGGTGGAGATCAGTCTAGCATACCTCGCCATTTTCCTGCATTCTCATCACGTGGTTAATTTAAAATAAAATGGCTGCTCTAAAACTTTTCATACAATATTAAATTCCCACAGAAAAAAGTCTAAATTTTTATTTCGAAATTAAATTCTGAATGAAATTTTTGGATCTTCATTAAAAATTTGTGAAACTCCGATGTTCGATTTTCCCGGGCGGCGATTTTACGCTTTGATCGTAGGAGGTAAATTATGTTTTAATTAAAATTGAAAGGGTCCGATGAACGTTCGCACCGAGTCAGAGAGTGGCAGCTGACAGTGACTAGTTCCACGCCATCTTTGCTTGCTGCTCTCGTTTTAAAAGCTCGCAGTTAAACGAGGTTCAATCACCTTCGGTTCTCTGATACTTTACAACCATCGCGGAGCATAGAACGCCCATCGATGCGCTTTTGTTCAGAACAATTGCCTACTTCGGTGAACTACACTTTTATTACGTAACACCGACGGCCATTGTGCCGTTGGAATTCCCGTCGGAAGTCGTAAATGTGACAGATTCTTCTTCCTTCCTTTTTTTTTTTATCAAACATAATGCTACATCAGTGCCAACTTCTCTTCCTTTGTTGAGAGCGCACGATCTTTCGGTTTGAATGACACATTTTAACCGTATGAGTATAAATTCGATGGTGGGAGATGATGAAAGATGACGGAAAATCAATTTTATAATCGTGTCACAATTTTTTAAAACTATCTTCAAATTTTGAAATTAAAATTATACGAAACTCCAAGTTTATAAATTTTTCAAAACCAAATAATAAACTCATAAAATAAATCAAACTCAATTAATTTTAAATAAAATTAAAGTGTCACAATTATCTAAAATTAAAGATTAACCTAAATTGTTATTCTGTACGATAAAAAATAGACTGAATTGATTTCGGAATTGAGAGAAATAAGTGCTACTAAATACTGCCGTATAAAGTGTTTGAATGCCGCGGAAGAGAGGCGATCGATATCTCGCATGAAGTTGGCAACGCATGCGCTTCGACTGCGCTGAAATCGAAGCAAGTTCAGGGAGGTCCACAGTGGCACTCAGGCAGTTGGGAGGGGAGGGTGAGATTTTTGTCAATAAAGTCTCGTCTTGTCTTTTTATTAAGAAAAATTGTGTTCAATGTAAATAATCAGTGGATTATCACTTTTCGAAAGCTTAGAAGCCTACGTGAGTGCTTATACATTTTACAAATTTTTATTTAAATATCTTTTTTAAACACCTTGACGTTCCTTCGAGTGTCAAATTGTTCCCTACACCTCTTTCCACGATTATTTTAACTCCTGTATCAACATACATTTCACACACTCTATTTCTCCTTTTGCATTGCAATTTTTTATCTTTTCATATTTTTCTGTTTGAAAACATAACCTGTATCCACGCATGATCATAAATGCTTTCCATGAACTTCATTTTACCCAGCTAATAAACAGACTTTATTTCATTGCAGCTTAACACATCTTCAAAATGTCGACCTCTGCGATATACATTTTAGACGTGAAAGGAAAGGTTCTGATTTCACGAAATTATCGTGGGGACATAGAAACTGGTGTCATAGAAAAGTTCATGCCTCTTGTAATGGAACGCGAGGAAGAGGGCAATCTTACTCCCATAATCCAAACTCCTGAATGTACATACGCGTACATAAAGTACAATAATTTGTATATTGTTTCAACCACAAAGAAGAATGCAAACATTTCATTGGTATTTGTATTCCTGCATAAATTGGTACAAGTGATGCAAGAATACTTTAAGGAATTGGAAGAAGAAAGTATACGAGACAATTTTGTGGTCATTTATGAGCTCCTGGATGAGCTGATAGATTTTGGATATCCACAGACTACGGACAGTAAGATTTTACAGGAGTATATTACCCAGGAGGGACACAAACTTGAAATTCAACCTCGCATTCCTATGGCTGTGACCAATGCTGTATCCTGGAGATCAGAGGGTATAAAGTACCGTAAAAATGAAGTTTTCCTTGATGTGATAGAGTCTGTAAATCTTCTGGCAAATGCTAATGGAAACGTATTGAGTTCTGAAATTGTTGGTGCCATAAAAATGAGAGTTTATCTATCAGGAATGCCAGAGTTAAGGCTTGGTCTGAACGATAAGGTTCTATTCGAATCTACAGGGCGTGGAAAGTCCAAATCTGTAGAATTGGAAGATGTCAAGTTCCACCAGTGCGTGAGACTGTCCCGATTTGAAAATGACAGAACAATTTCTTTCATACCTCCCGATGGAGAGTTCGAGCTAATGTCGTACAGATTGAATACTCACGTTAAGCCTCTGATATGGATCGAGTCCGTAATCGAAAGACATGCTCACAGCAGAGTGGAGTACATGATAAAAGCAAGATCACAGTTCAAGCGACGTTCTACAGCCAACAACGTGGAAATTGTGATTCCTGTACCAAACGATGCTGACTCCCCTAAATTCAAAACCACCATTGGCAGTGTCAAGTACTCTCCCGAACAAAGTGCGATAACTTGGTTCATCAAGTCTTTCCCTGGAGGAAAGGAGTATTTAATGAGGGCGCATTTCGGATTGCCATCAGTCGTCGGAGAAGACGTTGAAGGAAAACCACCGATACAAGTTAAATTTGAGATTCCATACTTCACCACTTCCGGTATCCAAGTACGTTATCTGAAAATCATCGAAAAGAGCGGATACCAAGCTCTACCTTGGGTGAGGTACATTACGCAAAACGGAGATTATCAATTGAGGACGAATTAAATTAGTGAAAGACATTTTTAACGGCATTACGATTGAGAAAATGGAAACTAGTCGGTTTGCTACGCTTAGTATGCCGAACGTTAAAACTTTGTAGCTATTTTCATGATCGATTGTGATCTATATAAGAAACCAATAACTATAGAATAAATACGAATTACTGTTTACAGTATTCCTTGACATTGATATTCGTTTAACCTTTCAATTTAAATGTGCCCTACTATCATTTTATACGTGTAAATGCATTAATTCTGTTTTTAGATACTTTTATAATAATTTCTCTCCGCGACAGCGGAACTGCAATGTACTTAATTTATTTACGTCTCTTTCTGCGTTACTGACGAGACAAATTGTACGTTCCATATACAGGGATTATTATAACGTTCATCATAATTCGATATACATAAAAGATTGTAAATATATTGAAAATCACTCTATATCGGTATTTTCATGGAATTGTTAACGAATTACTAATTATTTAAGCTCCATTAGTATTACATCAGAATTACTGTTCGAAGACGAATAACGATACTGTTTTAATTGTACACAATGTATTATCTTAAGACATTGAAGAGGTGTATTAAATTTTTCATAGAAATTACATGTGCCTTCTTTATTACCCTGATTCTTTTTTTCAAATATTTTACAATTTTTTTTTCGATTATTATGAATGTACTTTGGGTAGATACAAGATAACGTAGCCAGCGCTACATCATATTACACGAAACAATTTCGAGATAAATTTCCGTGGAACGCCATTTGAAAGTACTTAAAGTAATAATTTGCCGACCATTATCTCCGAAATCCACTTCCCACAAACATAGTAGAACACAGTGGCGCGTTAAAATTATTCAAAAATATTTTATCCAGACCACGATAACCGCGACAATTTCCGCTAACCAGGCTTCGTTATCACGTCCAACCACGTGTCTAATACATAGCGTGTTACCGCGTAACGAGACTGTTTAAAACTGCTTTCGAATTCCGGGCACAGGAAACCGAGATGAAAAATGAAGAACCGAGGTGTTCGGTTAAAAAAAAAAAGAATAAATATAAAGGGATCTGCGCGAACGGGAATGGTCTATCTGGATAGGAACAGTCTCTCGATAGTGTCTCTCCCTTTTTTATTTCACCCTCTCTTCGATCCACTTGCACGTTCTATGGTCGATGCGTTTCGAAATTCCTTGCAGGACCAGCAATTTCCATAAAATTATTACGCGCCGCTGTATGCGGCCCGGAAATTTGCATAGCATGACCGTGTCGTTGCCGGGCGAATAAAAAGAGGCCCGGACTGCGTTTCGCTCTAATCGGGTTCCTGCGATTCATATACTATATATATCTCACAGAATATTTACCATTTTTCCGATAGCGTGCTCGGGGAAAATCGCTTTCTTGCATGGGTAAGTAAACTTGTTAATTTTATGGGGTGAAATGATTTATTTTTGGAAGTTTGAGATATAGGGATTTGTGGATTTGTTATTTTCGAGTTTTAGAAGGCTTAATTGTTGGGAGTTTCAAATTGGGAATTTAAGGGGTTTTTACTTTTGAGAAGGATCGAATTTTACAACTTTCAAATTTTATAATTTTCAAGTTCCATTACAATCAAATTTGATATCTCGCAAGTCCCATCACTCTCAAGTCCCATAACTCTCAAGTTCCATCACTCTCAAATTCCATCACTCTCAAGTCCCATCACTTTCCAATTCCATCACTCTCAAATTCCATCACTCTCAAGTTCCATCACTCTCAAGTCCCATCACTCTCCAATTCCATCACTCTCAAGTCCCATCACTCTCAAGTTCCATCACTCTCAAGTCCCATCACTCTCCAATTCCATCCCTCACAAATTTGATATCTGTCAAGTCCCATCCCTCTCAAATTCCATCACACTCAAATCTGATATCTCCCAAATTTAAAAGTTCTCAAATTTGACATCTCCAAATTCCACATCTCTCAAATTCCACCCTTCCCAAATTCCAAAATTCCACCTTCCCAACTCCCCAATATCTCAAAACCCCAAATTCCCAAAGTCCCAACCCCTCAATATTCTCAAAATCCCCAAAATATCCAACCTTGCAATTCGCAATATCTCAAAATTCCACTCCTCAAATGCACCACCAAAGTTCATCACCCGCAAGAAACTTCATCGTCGAAAATCAGTTCGTACATCGCAGACTAAGTTTCTAATTTCGCCCCATGTTTTATCATATCCTGTACACGGAAACATCGTCGTACACTTGTATCCCGGTCTTAGAACCGAGATCTGATCAATAAAGGGTCAATGTATCCTCTCTGCAAGTTGTCCGCGAGCAACGGCAATTTTCAGCTTATCGGATCTCTGGGAGATGCTTGAAAAGCTATATATAAATACTTTATTACCCCGACATCGGTAATTTATAGTTAGCAGGCATTATCGTGGCGTCGTGGTATCGATGTTCGCCATAAATTTCGTCACGGCTTCTTTTGCAACGTTGTTTCGCGGAGGTAAAAGTGGGGGCGATATTTTTCGTTCGGCGTAGCTAATTAACGAAAACGAAAGCAATTTATTTCCCGCCGGTGTGTACACGCGCGCGTGCATTTAAATTAACGTTAGCAAAGCATGATTACCCTTCTCGTGCCTGTTAATACACAGTGTGTATACCACGCTCGAGAAAAAAAGGATACAAAGGCGGAGAGCAATCTGAAATCCATTAAGGGTTGCAAATTATTAGAGCGGAACGAGTCTTTCGCTTTTCTCTCTTTTTCTTTCCTGCTTGATTTCCTTTTTTCAGGCAAATGACTGCTTGTTGCGCCGGGAAATTGTTCCCCTTTCGATGCTTTAATTCGAACATTCTTTATTATTTACCTCCGTGATTCGATGAATTTTTTTGTTGAAAAATATTTTTTTATTTAACGCCCGCCCTTGTTTTTTACCTTTAATAACTTATTTGCACGATCGCGTTTTGCTATACTGAAATATGTACCGGCGTATAATTCGTACAAAGAATTATTACCTTTTTATTGTTTCAAACGTGTCGGGGTTATAAACATGTACGGTTATTACTTTTGGATAAAATATTACCTCCGGAGTATAAAAACTTCGGGGGAATTTATATCAGACGTGGAATTATTGTTCGGTGTTTGCGTTAAAAAATGAATCATTTGATTCGGATTTGGAATCGATGACAAAATATACTTTCCTTCCGGTTAGTACATCATGGGGATTTATAGTGTTTCGGTTGTTGTATTCAATTTTAATTAATTTATAAATGCGTCGTTTTTTAACATATGTATCAATGTTCACAAAAAGTTGAGATTATGTATGTAGCTCAAATAATGTTCACATAAAATTGAGGTTATGTATGTAGCTCAAACAATGTTCATATAAAATTGAGGTTAAGTATGTTGCTCTAATAATGTTCTCATAAAATTGAGGTTAAGTATGTTTCTCAAACAATGTTCATAGAAAGATCAGGTTAATGTAATGTTCAGATGAAATAAAAATTTGAGAACAAATGTATCTTTTCCCAAGATCTGAATTATTTTTAAGAATCAAAGTATGTAGCAACCAAGAGTTGCTTAGCAACAGAGTTGCCTAACAACAGAGTTTCCTAACAACCAAGAATTGCCTAGCAACAGAGTTGCCTAACAACAGTGTTGCCTAGCAACCAAGAGTACATGGTGTAAGAATATATTTAAAAATTAGGAAATTAGGAAAATTGAAAAGCTCACAAATATAATTCTCAAGCAGTACGAACCTCAAATAAAATTCCATAATTCATTATTGATATTCTTAAATCTCAATCAATCCAAAACAATCTTTCTACTCCGAGACTTTTTATCCAGTTAATCGCGGCATTTCAAGAACGACAACTAAATTTCCAAGTCGCAAGAATTTCGCTGTCGCGCAGAGCCAAGGGAGACGAAACTTTGGATACCTTTTTTCCGCGTGTACTTTAAGTCGCATTTTTATTCGACCATTCCCTACGTATCCAGTCGAGTTGACAGCAGCTATATATTTCCCAGCGAAGTTTTAATATCCTGCGGCTGAGATGTCTCACCGTTCTCCCGTGGATTTCGCGACAGGATCTCGGATGCAACTTTAAATCGGCCTCGCCAGAATTTCTCGAATCCCTCGCACGGTGGCGACCGATCGAGGAGCCTGAGCTCCTCAGGGAACACCGTCTAGGGAATCCTCTGAAAGGGTTGCATGCATCCCCATTACTCGTTGGCCGGCTCTTTCAAGGATTTCCAGGATCAATCGTCCAATTTCTCGCTGAAATTCGAACTGGAGTACTTGGATCACGTTTCGCGTTTATTAACCTTGCTACGATTTTTCATGGCGTTATACCATAGGGTGGAACAATTTCCTAATTTCCCAACTTCCAAATTTCCAAATTACCTAATTCCCCGATTCCCTAATTCTCCAATTTCTAAATTTCCCAATTTCTAAATTCCCCGATTTCCTAATTCCCCAATTTTTAAATTCCCCGATTTCCTAATTCCCCAATTTCTAAATTCCCTGATTCTCTAATTCTCTGATTCCCTAATGCCCCGATTCCTTAATTCCCCGGTTCCCTAATTCCCCAATTTCCTAATTTCCCAACCTCCTAATTCCCCAACTTCCTAATTTCCTATTCCCTAAATTCCTATGTCTTCAACCTCTTAAGTCCCTAATTTAAAAAATTTCTAAATCCCTAAATTCCTAAACTACCAAACCCCTAAATTCCTAAATTCCTAAGTCGCTAAATCCCCAAATCCCCAAATCCTCGAATCCCTAAATTCTACACGTAGTAAAGATCAGTACGTCTCTAACTAAGAGATAAGGGAAGCAGAGACAATTGCATCTCTCAGAGAAGCCGAAGCGTCAGTAATTAACCGTTATCAGATAGCAGATAATTAGAAGCCTCATTAAGAACTTAGGAGATAAACAAATCGAGTGACCGTTTAATTAAACCGTAAGGTAAATAAACATTCGTTAACAATAATTGAACGTCGTCGAACGAGCAGAGGTAAAGGAACAAGAAACGAGGGTCGTAATTAAATAAAAGTACAGCAGAAATTACAAATGAAAATTTTAATTGAACGTACCGCGATACACGTACGAGGTACGTATGGTGATAAACATCGCGAGACGGCGAAATGAATTAGCATGCCATTTCGGGGATTAATTTCTCGTGGGTGAGGGAGAAAGTGGATGGAAACCGAGCCGTATCAAGCAATCCCGTTAAATTCCGGGATTCATTGAATTACAGAAATATGAATCGTAAAACCGGCGAATAACTTCCGACCTGACTGGCGTACATTCACGGAAATACGTTCCGGAGGAGTTTGCCATTCGTAATTCAACCGGAGTTTATGCTTCTTGTGTACAAAGTGTTGGCTCGAAGTTACAGCGCAGAAATAAGTATACAAAGTTATGAATCCTGAAAGTCATCCGTAGCCGAACGGGTATGTAAGTGACGGGGAGATGCGTTTCGAAATGTTTGATTATTTATCGATATATCGTTTTAATCAAAATTCAGATACTATTCGTGAGATACTTTTGTAATGTTTATTTTGCATGTTGAGAAATTGTATACTATACTTGTACATATGTGCACATATGTGGATGTATGT